AGGGTCAATTCGATTAAGGGACGTGCAGTCACTAAAGTAATGTTAGGACGCCTTAGCGGTAACCCTAGTGTCTTAGATCATTTTTCCGAGGCAACCGTTTCGAGGCAAATATGATCTTTGGACAAGAGGGCGACCTCTAAAACTTCCTATACTCAATGACCGCGTTCGAAGGCAACCAAGTGAGGTGTACCCTAAGAGTGTGCATGTGCGAGTGTGTCGTTTTCAGCTAATTTTGTCTTTGTACATGTCAATGGTTATCTATGTTGATTTTAGGTTTTAAACGATTAATCTTGTCATGCATTCCCCATTATCAAACATCTAACAGTTTATGATTTGCGGAAATTAAATTGCGGAATTTAAACTAACTATTACAAGGCGTCGGATATTTACATCACCAAAAGCAACCCTTGAAATTAAAATACGGAAAATAAATAAAGCGATAAAATAGTAACATCCTATTAAACTATTACATCCCATGAAACAGATACAATATTGAATAAAAATGGATCGCGTGCGGGAAATTGAATCGGGCTCAAGTTTTTAGGGTTTTGACCCTTTGATTATTAAAGAAAGGATTTTTGGTTATTTTGAATTTATGGAGGAAATTAAATTAGGTTAACTATTAAATTAATAAGCTAATTAATTAATTAATGAAAATAATATTTTTTGGATTTTTTATATTTAAAGAAATAAAAATAAATTAATCAAAGTTAATAAAAACCTAATTGTCTAAGTTAATTTTAATTATTGCAAAATATATTAAAAATTATTCCTAATTAAAACTAAATTAATTAAATTAATTTTATTAACAAAAATAAAATGCTGGAATTTAATTTTAATAAAGAAAATATTTTTGGTTTTTAATTTTATTAAGAAAAAGTTTTAATTGGTTAGTGATAGAATAATAAAACAAAAACAATTAAATAAAATAAGAAAAGAATGAAATGGAAAAAAACTCAGGGGGGTTCTGGGCCCAAATTGGAGGTTGGAATGGCAATTCAAAGGCCCAACAGGCGCTGGCCTTGGCTGACTTTTCCTGATTCCATGCATGCACTTTGACTAGGGAGTATGATGCACGTCCCATCTGGACCACCAGATCTGGCCTGGGGCCATCTGGCGCTTGGAGATTTGAGGACCATGGTACGCCACACTTCCTGAAACGCGCTGGAATACCTGAAGATAAAAAATACAAAGCAATATGGGGGACCTGGGATTCGAACCCAGGTCCTGTTGGATTTTGAACAAACGCCCTTGCCACTCAACCATTGTGCCTGAATTGTTAATATATTGAAAACTAATAATAATAAGACAAAACAAATTAATGGATCAGAAAAACAAAATAAAGTGCGCTATATTCAAATAGGCGAATTGGAGCGTGATACGCCATCATCCCTGTCGTTGGGACCGTGGCTAAAAACCCCCAACCTATACCAACGGACAACCGTCCGTAGCTATAAGCCATGCCATCTCCAAAATCTGCTACGAGCCACAAAAATGCAATCCAAAGGCATAGTCATACTCGCCTCTTTATCCCAGTCTCAACCATGCCCCTTTTATCGGTCAATTTTCCCTGTAATAAAAACCCATGAAAAAACCCTAGAAAAACCTACAATGGTGTTTTACGATACACAACATAATAATGAAATTGTTTATTGCAGAAAGTTCACAAATGATGTGAGGAATCAGAATATGCAATCGTTTTTTAGAATGGATGCAAGAATAAAGATTTGTGAATCCAAGAACATGGCGGATCCGTGGGATGCTTACAGTGCTTTTGAGAGGGCGTGAGAGCTTGCTTTTGATTGCAGGAGGTTCAGTGGACACCCAACAATGGATTGGTGTTGAGATTTGCCCTTGAAAACGCCTCTAAGAAGGATTTCAGTTTCACACTTTTTGGCAATTTTTCAAATTTGGTTCTTGATGATTCTGCAGCCTCTAGCCCTTGAATTCGTGTCCTTTCACTTGTATATGTATGCTGCAATGCATTAGGTCAACAAATAGGTCTTGAATCTTTGTACATCAATGCTTGGAGATTTGATTTGATCCTCCATTGAAAGCTTTCCAATTTTGCCAAAAATCTAATCTTTTTGCACATGTAATGCTTGATACGAATTTGATCATGTCATTGATGATGATTAGGTCCTGAAAATAGAAAAAGATCTCATGTAATCAAGTTTTGTGATTTTATTTGATTTAAATTGATTAAAAATGAAATAATTCAAATAAAAATCAAACAAAATAGAAAAATTGACAAATGGACTCAAGGCTGAGGCTAGGACACGTGTGTAGTGTGACAAGATCAAATCAAGTGGAAAGGAATGGGCCCATTTGACAAAATTTGAAGTTTTAGGGATAGTTGACTTTTGGCAATTTTGCAAAAATGCCCAACTTCAACAATGCATAACTTCTTCAATTTTGAACTTTTGGAAGTGTTCTTGGACTTTTTAGAAAGCTTGAGATGTCCTCTAACCAACCCTTTTGGTATCATCTCATTTTTATATTCCATGCTCAAGTTATAAGCTTTGTAAAAAAAGGTGTTTTTGTTGACTTTCAAAAATGACCTATAATGTCCAAATTTATAACTTCTTGTGAGTGCATTTCTTTATCTTGGGGTATGAAGATGGATTGTATTAAATTGCATCCTATTAAAAATGGGCTTTGGATGGGTCATTTCTCATAAATTATGAGAAAGTTATGCTTGGTCAAAGTTGAGTTGACTTTTCCTACAAAACCTTAATTTAGCAACTTTTGAGTCTTGATGAATTTTGAGCAATCTTTGGTGAATCATGATAAACCCTTGATAAAATGATGAAATATCCTTCAAAATGAGAATTTTGACAAAAAATCTTGAAGTTTGACTATATTTGGGTCACAGTTGACTTTTGCCCTAGCACAGTCGATTTTTGGACCTCTTGAGCAATTGACTGAGCAAACTTCCTCTGCAAGGCTTGAAATTTGACATGGATGAACTTGAGAACATATTAGGACATTATGGAGAACTTGAGGTAATTTGGATGCAAGGACCTTGATGCAACACAAAACCCTAATTTGAGGTTGATTGCCTTAGGAGATAGCTTGGTTGTCCAACTCTTGAGCAATCTTAAGCAACTTGGAGATTTTCCTTGCAATGTCTTGGGAAATATGAGAGGGAAAATTTTGGGGTACAACAGTTGGTGTTGGGAGAAACTCTTAATTTCCAGAAAGAATGGGTTTGGTGACATGTTGAATAGGAGCGGAGGCAACATCTTTAGTGTTCTTTACGTCTTTTCCAGATTTGTTACTCTTCTTTGTGGACGCCATTGATGAAAAAGCTTGAAAGTGAATATTGATTTTCGGAGGAATAAGATGAACGAAATTCACAATTTGTCTGAGGAGATAAGAGCAAATGAGAGTAAAAAAGGTGTTTTTGTAGATAAAATAAGTGTTTATAATGAGCAAACAATTCAGTTTCATTTTTCAAATGAAAGAGATAGTGGGACACGTATTGGTGTTTAATAAGCTGACCAAGTGGTTGTTTTTTGGGGAAACCATGTTTTGAACCTACGTTAGTGTAGCAGTGATGGAAACTGAATTACGCAAGTCTCGATGGGACGTTTGGAAAGATGGTCATTATGACCATGACGTCACAACAATAATGATCATCATGAAATAACTTTTGCTTCAAAACGGAAGGTTTTGCAAAAAATGTCTATTTTTCCAAGTGTTTCGAAATACACATTTTTTGGGGGGCAATTTGTTAGCTGAGAATTTCGACGACATATGACATTGAGGAAAAATGAAAAAATTGAAAGAAGTTTAGTTTCAGAAGAGAATATGAGAATATTTTATATGGTCTTCGACTGACCAAACTATAGATAATTCGATTATGTTAAATAAGTCATGAAAGTTCTTATGTTGCGGAATATATGGAACTTAAGGATTTGTGAAGATTCGAATTTGAATCTTTTCGACACATCATGATATTGTTTTGGCGCTTCGAATTAAAGAAGGATTTGAATTCAAATGATTCGATCTTATCCAGAAGGACGTGTGGAGGTCTGACGATTCGAAAGAGCATGCAAGACTCGAACGTGGCACTTTTATAGAGAAATACCGTTAGGATTGAATTAGTATAAATATGGATCTTTGTATTAGGATTCAGTATGTTCACTTTGTACAAATTACTTATATAAACATGAAGTATCAGTGTTAGAGAAAAGAGTCATTGAGAATGTATGTATAGAAACACTATTTTTATATTCAAAGTAATTTACATTAAATCAAGTCTTTTACTTTCGTTTAGCATTCCAGTCGAATTCTTTACATTCCAGATTTTACTTTAAAACCTTTTTACATTTATCTTCAAATCTTTTATCTTTACTTTTACCTTTATTATACTTATCTTTTTGACATAGAACAAATACTTAGAAACATTAAAACAACAAAATATTTGACACATGCTCTAGAATCAATCTAATCGATCTTGCGAGTAACCAGAAATTATCTTTGTTTTATAGGACTAGCGATTGTTTACCAAATTACACGATAAACAATGACATAACAGAATGATATATTTTCATTGGATAACTGTGTAAAACCCTTTTACATTGTCAACCAATCACAATCATGAATCCCACCAAATCAGACTATAATTAAAAAAAAAAAAAATTATATAACATAATAAAATAACATATTTCTATTGGATGACAAAGTAAACGATCTCCTTTAAGTTACATTTTTTATTAAAACTATTTAAATATAAAATTTAAAATTTGAACAGTTTTGGTGGTTAAACCGAAAACAAAATACTTTGTAGCATATAGTAACATTTAATTAAAAATAAATAAAATGTTAGTAGTGATATGTTATTTTTGTAATACCTACGAATATTTAGAATTTAAAAAAAATAAAATAAATAATCCGGTCCAGTGATTGGAGGCGACCCATGGATCCGTGTAATACCCGTTAACATGTTGGGCACCCCACCCGTGACGGGTCCGAAGGGACGAAGCTCTTGAAAGATGTTTCTCTCTTTCTTATCTCTCTCTCACCTATCAATTCATAAAATGGCAAATATTTTGAAGGGTGGCAGTGTTTTCATGCTCTCATTTTTCTCTTCACGAACATCATCAACCCATTGCTCATTTCGTTCCAAAACCCTATCTAGGTTTCCTTCCTATTGCACTGTTGCTTCCGAGCCTGTCCCGGAAGCCACTAACAATGGTGGTGTTAGAGATTCTGCTGGGCTGCTTGACATAAGGGTCGGTCGCATTCTCAGGGCATGGAAACATGATGAAGCTGAGACGCTTTATGTTGAGGAAGTTGATATTGGTGAGCCTGAACCTAGAATCATTTGCAGTGGCCTTGTTAATTATATCCCTCTTCAACACCTTCAGGTTTCTCTCTTTCTTTTAACAAACTCGGAAATTGGAATATAATTTATCTACCTCTTTAACTTTATTGCTCAACGTCTGTTTGTTGATACTTATGTTATGCAATAAAATGTGAGGTTTGTGAGGAAGACACTTATGTTATGCAATTAATGAATATTCTCATAACAAATGGTAAGGCACAAATGCAGGGGAAAAAAGTTATTGTTCTTTCGAATCTGAAGCCAAGGAATATGCGTGGTGTCAAGTCATGTGGAATGTTGATGGCTGCCTCTGATTCCAAACATGAGAATGTTGAACTTCTATTCCCTCCCGAGGAAGCAAATCCTGGTGAAAGAATATGGTTTGGATCTGAAGATGACAAGGATAATCAACCTGAAGCTGCCAAACCAAATCAGGCAATTACTCAACTTAATCTCGTTGTTCTTCGTCTCTTACCTTTCATATTTTGTGTATTGCCATAACATTCTCGTATAACAACATGCAGATACAAAAGAAAAAGATATGGGAGCTAGTACAGCCTCATCTTAAGACGGATGTTTCTTGTACTGCAATGCTAGGTGAGCATGTAATGCGTACATCTGTAGGCACAGTGGCATGCCACTCTTTGCAGAATGCAAATATCTCCTGACCAACACTCAGTTTCTCAATTTACACATCTGAATAGGCAATACCTATCCGTATGCAATTCTTCTTTTTTTGGCTCGTCTATAAACATTTGTTCTATATATTTTCTTATGATTTTAAATTGTTTTTCACAAGTTTCACTTGGAAATAAAGGTTTCAGCTTTGCATAAATATCTTGTCATGGTTGTCAATAATTTTACATTTATAATCTATGGTATATGATACTGTAAAAACAATTCACGCAGACATCCAATCGGAAATTGGTCATGTTGGTATATAGAACACATATATAAAGACTATTTTAGGAATATTCATAAACAAAATGGATACATTAAATATACTACATATTTTTCTTCATATATGATTATATGTTCAGAAGAAGTTTAGACAAAGGTTATACATGTAACCAGAGATGAACACATACACACAGATATAAACTACTGCCTATGATGACTCTTCCTCTTTTGGCCATTATTTATACCTTGTGGTTGTGGGAGCCTCAATAAGAACTTGTTTATAACTTGATCCAGAAAGTAAAAATAGGCATCACTCCATGATCTCTTCATGGCTAAAGTAAAATATGGAGCCAAAATACCGGTTGCAAACCCCAAACCAACACTACCTGAGCACTTCACAGTGGAGTGCCACAAAGATTAGGATTCCCAGTAAAAGCTGATGCATCAAAGGTTGTCACTTGACCTGTGTAAGGAATAGCACCCATGAGGTTGTTGTCGGACAAGTTTAGGCTTCCCAAAAATGTCAAGGAAGGCAAACTTAAAGGAATTGTGCCAGAAAATTGATTGCTCGACAGATCAAGATATGATAGTTGACGCAAATTTGATATGGTTTCTGGAATTTGGTAGGTTATATGGTTTCTTGACAAGTTGATAACCATCAAACCAGATAGTTTTGTAATTTCATTGGGAATATTTCCTGTCAAGTTATTATCAGAAAGGTCTATGCCAGTAACAAGGGAAAGTGTCTTGGTATACTTTAGTCTTTGGTCTTTTATATACACATTCAAACTTTCTTCATAGTAGTGACCTTCATAATCTCCATACAGTAAGTATTTATTTTTCTTCTTGGCTTGGACTATAGCTTTCAGATCACCCAACCTTGCTGGAATGCTTCCAGTCAAGTCATTTCTCGAAAGGTCGAGGACTTGCGACGAGCCTAGTTTTGAAAGTTCGGGTGGCAATTCGCCAGAAAATGCATTAGACCTCAAAATAAGAATTCTTAGAAATGTGAAACCTTCTCCAAACTATGTTGGAATAATACCAGACAATTCATTGTTTCCAAGATCCTTAGTTTTTAACACTGACAAATTTCTTAAAGATGATGGCAAATCCCCCGAAAAGTGATTGTCATTAAGGTGTAATGATCTGAGTAGTTGAAACTGGCCCAAGGAATCTGGAATTGTCCCAAACAGACTATTATTCCCAAGGTCTAGTACATCCAGAATAGAGCAATTTGCAAGGCTTGGAGGAATCCTTCCAGTTAAGTTGTTGTTTAAAAGATTAATGACAGTAACACAATGGTATTTCTCCATGGAGTTGATTATAAGAAAGAGATAGAAATCCCACATGATTCATTTATTCACATATGTTTAATGGGATTGCACCAGAAAAGTGATTGTGTGAGAGATCTAGCAACTCGACACCAGGTTTTATAATAGGAACCGGTCCTTCAAGAAGATTAAAGCTTAGATCAACTGCATCAGAAGATAATGCCACAAGCATTCAGATTTGGAAGCCAACCCTCCAACTCATTATTTGACATGTTTAAAAACGTTAATCAGGAAGATATATCCCAAAACCAGTTTGGTATAAAACCAAAAATGCTCGAATTTGAAACGTCTAAATAAGCAATCTTATTTTGTGATTTAAGCCAAGGTGGTAATGAAGGCCCCAAAACACATGAACACATAAGAAGAAAAGATATTTGGAATGGCGGCATCCAATTGGCACTGATATTCATAGTGAGTGAATTGGAAGACATGACTACAATCTTCAATTTTGCCAGCATTGAAAAATGTTCTTCAGTTACCGTGTCTGTCAACTGATTGGAAGAAACATCTAAGTATGACAGCTTAGTAAGTTGTCCTAAACTATCTTGTTGGGTACCATTTAATTTATTCTCTTCAAGCATCAAGACAACGAGATTTTGCAGCGACCCGATGGAAACAGGAATAAGACCTTCAAGCAGATATTGCAAATTCATCAGTGATCCAAAGAACTCAGGAATTGGTATTCCCTCAAATGTGTTGAAGCTCAAGTCTAAATGGCTTAATGACTTGAGTTTCATCAAAGATGGTTTTAGCTCACCACTTAAGTTCCATATTCCATACTTACTTGGAGATGAATCAACTTGCTCTGAAGGCGGGTTATGGAGATCGATTGCAACCATGCGATTGACAACAATCGGTGTTTCTCCATGAAGAGAGCCTGTTCCGAGGATCCTTAAGCCCATTTTTGAAGTCTAAAAGAGCTTCATGATCAGAAACTAAGCATTCAACAACTAGAGCAATGCTGCTAAAAGAAATAGAAAGTAACAAGCCATAAACTAATAATGTTAATAATCCAACTTGAAGTTTCTCTCATCCTTTGTGTCTGTAAAGTAATAATCATATCAGTTCTGAAAATCTTGATCACAATCAAATCATTGTCTTTCATGCCTTATTATTATTTTTTTTTTGATAGGCAAATTAAACTATATTAATAAGAAAAAGAAGCTTGCATTTGACTATTTCTTATTTATCCTAACAAAGGCAGGGCCGATCTGACATTTTAGAGGTCCAGGACAAATAACAAAAAATGATCTCTTAAATAAATAATATAATTTAAAAAAAATATAAGTCTTTTCTTTTTCCTACGCTTCTCACATTCAGAGTCAAACTCTTTAATTTTATGAGACAATTTAGGAGACATAGAGGAATAATGAACATAAATATAGAACTTAAAATTAAAGTTGATCTATTTCGCATAGTTGAAATTGAACCGATAAATTTTGCGTTGAAATTGAACCAATAAATAAAAAATTAAGAAATAATTTTTAAATAAAATTAATATTTATTTGAAATTCAAATAAACAAGTAGCAACACTAAAGTATCAAAAGCAAAATATACGTGACAATAACTATTAAAACAATAAAACAACAATAAATATAAAAAAAGGCAAGATTTTATAATATACTTCAAAATAAATTTTTGTTTAAAAACAAAAAAATTTAAAACGTAAACTAAGTATTGCTATAATAGGGCGAATCATGTGTGATATCAAAAATAAATTTTTCACTGTTACTTTTAATTTATGAAGAATTTATATCAAAATAATCTTTTGCTATAACAAACACCATCTGACCAAACAAATTTTAATTTTAATTTGTATGAAAAATTTATACAGTTTAAACATAAACAATAAATAAAAAGAAGAATTTATCAATTAAAAAAGAAAAAATTGAATAATTAATCTTGAACTTTGATTTCTTTTTTGTTTGAGAGAGGGAAGAAAAGGTCACAATTTTCACTTTTACTTTTAAGAAAGATGTGAAAACAATTTATTAAACTAATATTTATCTCCAGAACCTTGACTGTCTTCAGAGTATGGATCACCATCGGAGTCAGAGTAAGAATCATCTTCTCCTTCTGTATCTTCTTCAGAGTCATAGTCTTTACCAGCTTTAGAAACATGTGTTTCAGACTTTTCTTTAGAAGTTATCTTATCAGAGTCAGGACGAGACCTTTCATAATTCCAAACTTTTGATTCCTTTACAATGACATCTCTGTTGAACTCAACTTTGTTAGTTTATGGACAATAAAGTTTGTACGAACCTGTACTGTGGTACCCCACCAGCAACATCACTTTACTTCTATCATCCAACTTCTGTCTTCTGGCTTCTGGGACATGTTTGTAACATACATAACCAAACACCTTCAGATAACTAACACTTTGCTTATCTCCAGTCCACTTTTGAATAGAAACTATTTCCTTCAATTTCTTCGTTGGACATCTGTTGAGCACATAACATGCAGTTGCAACAGCTTTTCCCCACAGAGTATGAGGAAGCTTCTTCTCTTTCAGCATGCTTCTCACCATATCAAGCAAAGTACGATTTCTTATTTCAGCAAGACCATTGTGTTGAGGAGTATAGGGAGCAGCAACCTCATGCTCAATTCCATTCTCCTCACAAAATCTTCTGAATTCTGTGGATTTATACTCACCACCACCATCAGTTCTAAGAATCTTCAGAGTCTGGCCATTCTGGTTTTTAACCTTTAGTATGAACTTCTTGAATTCAGCAAACACCTTGTGTTTAAACTTTATGAGAGATACCCATGTCATTCTGTTGAACTCATCAGCAAATGACACAAAATATTCATTCCCTCCAGTTGATGCTACTGGAAAAGGACCGCACACATTAGAATGCACTACTCCCAAGGCATGTTTTTCTCTTGGAGCTACTTCTGATGCAAATGGTAATCTTGGTTGCTTCCCTTCCATGCACACCTTGCATGAATTTTCAGGCTTCTTGATTGTAGGAATTTCATGTACCAGATTCTTTGATTTCAGATTCCCTAAACTTCTGAAATTCAGATGACCAGATATTTTTTGCCACAACTCACTCTCCTTGACAACACTTGTTGCACTAAGACATTCAGAGTCTGCAGTTCTAACATTCACCTTGAATGTTCTGTTTCTTCCCTGTTCTGACTCCATAATCAGCTTTTGATTAGTCATACAGCTTCAGAAGATTGTCCTTCATGGTAACTGAAAAACCTTTCTCAATCAGTTGTTCCACACTCATCAGATTGATTTTCATGCCAGGTACATACCATACATTATGGATCACTGCTGCTTTCCCATTGTTTAGAATGATTATGAAATTTCCCATACCTTCGGCATTGAGGTATTTATCATCAGCATATCTGATCTTTGTACTCTTCCCAGAGTCAAAATCAACCAATCGTTTCTTATTTCCAGTAAGATGGTTTGAACACCCTGTGTCCATATACCACCATTCTGATGCATTCAGATCACCGGGTTCAGAAGCCAACAATAGCACAAGTTCATCATTTGACTCTCCTATGGCTATATTTTCTTATTCTAACTTCCTTTCTTTGTTTGACCAACAATCTTTGGCATAGTGACCAAAGTTCTTGCAAAAGTAACACTGAAAATTCTTCTTGTCAGACTTCTCCTTTCACTTTTGGACATTCTTCTGTCTATCAGAGTTTTAAGCTTCTGACCTTTGACCACCCTTTGTTTTCTTCTTGGCTTCTGACTAAGTCTGCTTCTGATACTTCTTACCAGAAGTTACTTTCAGAGCCTGCTGCTCTACTTCTCTCAGAAGTTCTCGCAGTCATACGCAACGCATGCGCCTCTAGACTACTTTACAGCTCTTCAACTCTCATGGTACTCAGATCTTTGGAATGTTCAATTGCTACCACAATGTAATCAAACTGAGAAGTTAAAGATCTCAATATCTTCTCAATGGTTACTTGTTTAGAAAGAGTTTCTCCACAAGATTTCATCTCATCAGTGATCAGAATCACTCTAGAGATGTACTTAGAAACCTTCTCATTGTCCTTCATGTTGAGATTCTCATATTGCTTTCTGAGAGACTGAAGCTTCACCTTATTCACTGATGCGTCACCACCGTAACATCTGACCAGTGTGTCCCACACAGCCTTCATTGTTTCAGAGTCAGCAATCTTCTCAAACACATTTGCATCCACACATTGATGGATGTAGAACAACGCCTTCTGATCTTTCTTCCTTAGCGCACTATGTGTTATCTTCTGTGCCTCTATTGCGTCTGCTTTTAACAGATCATAGCCATCGGTGACAAGATCTAACACATCTTGAGAACCAAATAACACGCGCATCTGGATCTTCCAACGATTCCAGTTTTTGCCATCAAATACTGGAAGCTTGGAATGGATATCTCCGCCATTTTCGTTCATCTTCTACCTTGTCCAATTTACGCAGAAACTCAATAAAGCAGTGTTTCCCAAATCCCCAGAATCAGAAACAACGATTATCAAACAACACCTCATTGTTCTCTCGTGTTTCCCTTTTTCCTGTGGATTTCGAACCGGAGATCTAGATACCAATTGTTGGTGCACAAAGAAGAGATAAAAGGCAAAAAGAATATATTAAATGACGACTACAAAAAATAAGGAATAATGATTTACAATGAATTATATTGAGCTACCTCACTAGGCTATTTATACACAAAATAAAATCCTAAATATCCTCTAACAAAGATATAAAAAGATATAATAATATCCTCTAAAAAAGATATTCCTAAAGTATAGATTAAATCTAAAATATATTCCTAAAATATAGATTAAATCTAACAATCAACACCTCATTTAAAGATGAACTACCATTCTTGTAAGGATGTGGTATCCATAGTTGAGATCTCCATAAAAACATGTCATTCATGATTTCTTACCTCGTAGGAATGTTATAAACGGGAGTCGAATAGATAAAAAAGGTTAGAGAACCTATGTCTTTGTAGATTGTAGATGTAAATTAGGGTGGTTTTGATACCCGGTTGGAGCCAAAGCTCGTTAGTGATGATGGTTAAGATGAGAAAGTGTTTTCCCTAGACGAGAGAGGAAAATTCAAAATTGCAGAGCCCACCAGAGAGATTTTAGAATTATAGTTAAGCGTCGACCTTTTAAGACACTCAAGATCAAGGTTAACCTTCTCGAGCTTGTGAAGGATTAACTCATCATTGTTGTCTTTAAAAATACACGCCTATTAGTTAGGCAATTTCTCATCCCATCCTTATTATATGGAGCGCACATATGAAAATTGAAAAAATGCTTCTCGGTGAATTCAGAGATACATCTCCGAACGCACCAAATACTATTTTTTGATAAAATTTAGTCCAGAGATACATCTCCGAATACATCCCTATGGTAAATTCGGAGATACAAGTCCGAAGTCATTTTTGTTATATGGGAATTGTTTTTTATCACTTAGTGATATTTTTGGAGATGTATTTCCAAAAATATCTAGCAGTAATTTGAGTATAAGATCATCTCATCTTCCTCACTTTTAAAACACTTCCAACTCCTCAATAACCAAAAAAAACCTTGAAAAAAAATCTCATTATCAATCAAATTTTTGATTCAAAACCAGATTTTGTGCATTTTAACACATCAAAGGGAGCATCATAAGCTGTAATTTAAGGTAAAGTTCCATCACTTCATCCTTCATTGCTTTGCATTTATCTTTAGTTTGAGCTGAATAAATGTTCGCTTTGTCCATAAATACATATTTGAACTCACGTACATTTTTTCGAATATGTATACCTGAATTCAACTGTTACTGGTTTTTAAATTTTGTTTTTTTTTTGCTTCTTATTAGCTATGGTTCACACGAATATGTTTTTCAAAATTGTTGTACGTAACGATGTAAAACAGGATGTAGCGAAGGATATGTTAAACCAATTAAAG